ATACATTATGGATCCCACTCTGTGATGAGTGGTGCCTGACCAGGTACACTTAGTATCAAATCCACACTGTACATTCTGTGACCATGCTAGATAATTATAGAATTGGGGCACTTCCTTCCATGGACCTGATGTACAATTCCAGATGCCACCAGTTATTGGTTGATTGACTCCATCCGATGGTCATCCGTGCATTAATGTCAAATAATATACTTGAGGCTATATAACATGTCACAGGATCATGTTATGCACACTGTAAAGCAGACAGAGGGAGCCCATCTCTGCTTCGTGGCATTGAGGCTCTTCCTACCATGGACCTGGTGTATAATTCCAGATGCCGCAAGGTATTGGTTGATTAACTCTGTCAACATGGTAGCTCTGCCTTTCAAAATAAGGGATCACAGTTGCCCATTGCACTGTTGCTGGTGCTGCGATCCTCCAGACTCTCCAATGAATTCTCCACCCACCTTCTTCTAGTGGTGTATGGGAGTCCTTGCCACTTATCAGTTCTTAGCTGCTGGGATGGTGGACCATGGAGACTAGTCCTCCTGAGTGAAGCACAATACCACTCAGTTGAGAGTAGAGTGGTGGCATTCTGCTGGTGTTGATGGTGTGATGCCCCTTCCTACCATGGATCTGATGTGCAATTCCAGATGTCACCAGCTGTTAGTTTTAGCAATCTGCCATATCTATATATATCCTGCAGTTTGCCCTTCCATCTGTGTTATTTCTTCTTACTACCATTCTATGGATGTCTGTTCTCGGTTGGGTCAGGTGTTGGTTAGAGATAGTCCTACTGCGGACTGGATGGTAAATTCCCTATGCCACCAGGTTTTGAACTGGAGATGCTACCACTGTTTGATGTCTTTCTTCATCTTCCTACCTTCTGTTGGATGTTTGTTCTTGGTGGATCTGGTGTTATTTGAAGTTGGACTAAACACGATTACCTGCATGTGTAAGGCTGGCTTCCCTGTTCCTACTACAGACTGAACATAACATTCCCATTGCTGCCAGATTTTGGACCAGATATGAATGCCTCCTGAGCTCACCTAACTTCCTACCATCTGCTGGATGTTATTTTTGGGTAGATCCAGTGTAGGTTGTGTTGGATGTGCACACATGCGGAGTCGGGTTCTTGGTACGGATGCTTGTATTCCCTTGGGTGCTATCTCAAGGAGGATCATATTCTCACCAGCCTTCCACCAGTTCAGTGTGGGATTCTAGCTTTTTGTGAGAGGAGATAATATATCATATTGGAAGTCAACATTTTCCTAAACTGAAAATGTATTTCTGACTAGATACTTACCTCCTTTCACATTTTTTGCCCATCCTCCCCACTTCCGATGTATTTGTGGACTTGGTCATGGCCAATTTCGAATTGATTAACAGATGCATTATTAGAGAGGGCACTAGTTACGATTGGGTTAGTGTCACACTCCTATTGGTGAATAGATGATAGATATGCAGAAAGAAGTGGGAGTTACAAGGCTAGTGGTGAGCAAAAAATATGATCCAACTAATAAAATTAATCAGTGATCATAATAATGATGATAAAATATATGTTAATTAGAAAAATATTTGAGATAAACATGTGTTATCTAACTACTTTTTATGACATGAATTGTGTATTATTATTATCATATAAAGAAATATATGATTTTTTCCAGAAAATATATCCCTAAGTTACATGGAACTCTTACTTTTCTTGTCCAGTAATGTTATAATCATTACAGTATCACAGATGTTACAAATTCTGTAAGTTTACTGATAGTATTAAATTATTGCATTATTAGATAACTGAAACATGTATTTCACATTTTACTGCTATCACTGATATTAACTGACAGATAACAGCAATATGTTTTGTTTTGTAATTCTGATAAATTCTGTTGTTTTTGCTAATTGGTAATATTGTTTACCAGTCTCCCCCTGTCATTTCCAAATGAAAATTAAGTTTTGCAAATATTCTATATGAGAATTTCTAAACCCTATTTCTTGGAGGTGCTTTTTAGTAAAAGTTGGGAATACTTAATTTTTGCAGAATTCAAACTTTGTGAACCTGAAAATTAGTTGAATTAATTACACATTAGAAAATTTTCTGGTCTGTAATTATTCTAACCATAATTATCTAACAATTAATGCACTGTCTGCAGAGCCATAGGAAGCAGTTAGGCCATGGCCTAACCACTTTTTCTTGGCATGTATAGTTACAACTTGTGTATTAAAACTTGCTTCTTTTAATTCAATACATCATGTATGTATGTATGCAGTATTTTGCAGTTATAATGGCTCAAAATTCAATTTCATAGCATTAACTTTTCAAAACCCAGACCTCCCTAGAAATGGCATTGTGGCAATGGCCTGACCATTCCAAAATTACTTCCTGTGCCAATCTTGTCATGATATGCATAAGGGTTGAGTGGAACAACAGTGCATTTATGTTGGATGTTGCCTGTATTGCATTTTATATCTTAATAATGTTGACAAAGGCTTAAATTACTTAGTATTGGGCAAAAGGCCTCATCGGCACTGGATATGGATGATATAATGCAGTTGACATTTTTTTTTCTTTCACTTTTAAGTTCTTAGAATTACCACACACGTCAATTAAACTCTAAATGGTACTTAGAAAAATATACATTTATTATATTTGTCACAGTACAATAATATTAGGCTTAATGTATTTTTATTTTGCCTCATATGATTTATCTAAGAAGGAGATTGTATAATAATAATAATAATAATTTAACCACACTATGTCCACTATAGTCATTGTTTCGCCAGTATAAGAACTCATCAGGAACTCATGGGATTCAACAAATATAATGGTTGCAATACTATTTATTAAAATAACTTATTTAGAAATACAATAAGCCTAATACTATTGTTTTATGACTAGAGCTGAGTGATTATTAAAATTTACTAATCAATTAATTGTTTGATTTATTGATCTGTTTCAAGTTTGTTATTCTCACACGAAATTGATCTTCCTATTTTTAGCTTTTTTCTCTCTTTTTAAAGACATTTTCAAACTACCATTGGTTTAACGTGATAGACATCCTCAGGTCAAACGATTTAGGATTAAATTACTTTTTTAATCCTGTAACAAGCAGCAACCTTGAATTAAGCAAAAGTAATAATGAGAAATCATAATGGCAATATTTTGATTGCTTGTATGGATGGAATAATTGGAAACATTAATTTTGATTATTTAATTATTTTCATCATTGTGACATCAGTCAATTAAGCTGAGCAAACTTGAATTAATCAAAAATAATGAAAATTCATAATGGCAATATTTTGATTATTTGGAATATTTGAAAGGTAGTCATAATTTTGCAAGTGCATTTTCCACACTGACTTTTTGATGTGACCACATGGAGGGAAAGTCACATCCTGTCAGTGCATGGAGTAGCATAAGGTTCTACAGGTTCTAATGGTGCATTTTATAGAATTTCTTCACAGGAATATAATTCCTTTTTTCTTTTTTTTTGAGATACCATCTATTATCATAAGTTATTATAGTACATAATTTCTAAGCATGCCACAAGCATAAGTACGACATCAGTGTTCTTTACATAACAATGGTTTCGGCATTGCAGTAAATGGAATGCAAAACTAGCATGTTGTCTGTTTTCTTATGATTTGCTCACAGTTGGGTTAAATTGTCATTTGTTTATAATGGTATCAGATATTTAGGTGCAACCAATACTATATATTTATTGACAGAAAAGCAAACATAAAAGTCAAATCAATGCAGTGAAATGTTAAGAAACAAACACCAAGAGAAACCTTTGACTTGTCAGTACACCAGTAGTGTGTTTACTGACAAAGTCCATAAAAAATGCAGTATGCTTCATTCTCTAGTATTTTGGGCAGACCTAGACTTATACACCATTGTTTTAAATTACCTCCACCCAGTTTATCATGAACTGTGGCTAAAATTACATTGGATAGAGTATTATATATCTTCTACTACATACTATTTAGAAACTGTAAATGTATAAATAACAAAAAACAAGTGTCACTTAGCTTTGATATCAAAAATGGATACATACAATGTATAATTATAATTTCATGGGTATATACATACACAGTCATGTTTAAACTATTTTATTGCAAAAAAGTGAGGCATAAATTTAATGTATTATTTATAAGATCCTCATTACACTTTACAATTACCAGTAGAAAAAAAAAGTGGAAGAAACTTCATGAAATGAAATATTCACTTTGGGTGGGCATTCTGAATCATCTGTTTAATGCTTCATATCACATAATGCTGCTTGAAAACACTTGTATTCAGCAAGTATGAATTATATAAGAAGACTATTTCCAACTGTTAGTAAAATGTGCTGTGAGGTTCAATTTCTAGGCGTGTTTCTGCTTTCCATCTAGAATATATATGCACATAGTAAGTAGTTAAGTTCTCTGCATTTTGGTTTTATTTTCAGCTGTAAGGTTTACAAAGTAATCTAGTTGGTTTTTTAAAAAAAGTTGAATTACTGACTCTGTTCAAAATTAGTTTGTGTTTTTAGGAGTAGCATAGGTATTTAAAAATTAAAGTTAAACACATACAGCTTTGTTACTTGTTTCCTCAGCTACATAAGATGATACATTGAAATGTCAACTAGTCTATTATTTGAGTAATGGGAATGTTTATGAATGATCTTTCTATGCATACTCAGTATTAAGAAATAAAGCTTGCCTAAGATGTTAGGATACAGCTAATCAGTGAAGCAGTTGAAAGTAAACTTAATTAGAATAGAACAGCATAGTATTATTGGATTATATTTTCAATATTAGTAACTAATGGTTGAGTCACTACACCTTCTGAAGAGCTCTTTTCTCTTGCAACATTTTTAATTCTTGGATCAAAGAAACTTGCAGAAAAAAAGTCACTAAATATATGTTTTTGATATACTATTGAACATTTCATTTTTAGTCTAAACTGCAAATATTCTCTTTTCAACTTTGTGTTTTTCAATGCATTTAATTTATTTCAGATCTGGAGTGATATTAAATCTGGGAAAGCTTTAAAAAAGCCATCGTCAACCTTATCACTGTTTTTAGCTGTGACGTTTGCAGTAAGTATCATGAAATTTGGCATTATTTTTTAAAGAAATTTTGACAGGTGATATGTCTATTTTATTATTATAATTCTAATAGGAGAATACATGAATAGTTAATTCTCATTGAAATGTATAGCATAATGTGAGTTATTAGCTGGAGATTAACTTGCATGTTAAACAAGTAGGGGACTGTTACCAATGAGCTATAAAAACAAAACTATCTGGTTCATTTCATGGACATTAATTGTGACTTATGGCTGAAGTTTGGTAAATAAACATTACAAGATCAAAGGGGTTATGTGCATTGTGACTAGAAAAATATCCAACTAATATTATCATTGAGGTTCTATATTCACATAATTAGGTGAAATATTCTGTTATATTATATTTAGACAACTCATGCTAAGGATTTGTCATTTTAGACTATCTAAAGGTTGAGTTTGTGTGTGTGTGTGTTAGTCTGTCTGTTCTAAATATTAACTTCTGGTTAAAATTAACTACAGTTGATGTTGACTCGAAGTCTTAGCTTAAAAACTTGTCAGTAGACTGTGATCTATCTGCAAATTCAGTCACACCTTCGTTAAAGATTTAAAATCACATTGCCAATAATATCTGTTAAGATATGTTTACAAAAAAACATTAGGAAATTTTTAAATATGCATCCAGTTTCTGACCATATAACTTGTAAATAATGCTCTACATATTTTTTGAAATTTTCTAAAAAGAAAAACCCTTGATTACAATTGCAGGTTTTTGCAAGTGAAATTTGACATAATTCATTAAATCATTATTGGAGTTTTTTATTTTAAATACTAAATATGTAACATGAAATAGCAAGTTGATAATTCACCTTTTAAAATCAATACAGTACTTACTTGATAATTAAGATTTTTTTAAAAACCAGATAAAAATAAAAAAGCTTTTAGAAGGACTGGTGTTTTGCTTAATTACAATTACTGACTAAAATATATTAAAATACAGTATAGCATTTATAAGAACAAATAAACATTGTGTGCATAAGATAGTTAAATAGAGGTGCAGAGCTCAAAAATTGTTTAGTTCAGTAGTGGTAACATTTTTACAACATTGGATTTGCTTCTCAGTCAACAATGAAGAACTCATTAAGAGAAAATATCTAACTCCCTGAATGGGACATTAACATGGTCCTTCATGCCCTCACTTTACCATCGTTCAAACCTCTTTCTGTGTTTTTCCTGTTTCACCTCTCTTTGAAGGCGTATTTCCTCTTCCTCCTTCTGGTCTGCAGGCATTGTAGTTTGGATATTTTCACCCTCGACATTACCAGGACCTTGTACCACTCCTCCTACCTTATCCTTTATCCAGATAGCGCTTTCCTTCTCTAGACATCTGCACAGCTCGAGAAGGTCAGTCTACCTTTTCCCCTATCTGCGTATCATCTATGTCTCATCCCTACCCTTGTCCTGATCAAAATAGACTCCTCTGTCCTGTCCGTACCCTCCATTGTTATATTGCTCGCATGGCTTCCATTCGGGGGTCCTCGTTTCCACCTTTTTATCCCTTGGCAACCTTCCTCTTCCCGTGATCTTTCCTCATTACCTTGACCAATTGGGTTCAACATTTGATCCAATTGGCCTATTCCTCCTTGTCTCCTTCCCAACATGATCTTTTTCATGTTTCCTCACATCAAATCCGTCACCTTACCTTCTCTCTCGCTTCTCGTCTTCATCGGCCATTGGAAGAGATTCATCTCCCACTACCTATACCACATTACTGTTTCTGCTTCTTCGGGGTATTGCCTGCCAGACTTTGGTACAAATGTGACATGAGGTAAGTCCTCACTAACGCTTTATTTTCTTTTAGGGGTCCCTGCTTAGGCTTCAATTTGGATTCTGCTCTATGGTGAGTGATGCCTGACCAGGTATTCTGTCTGTACTCGGAATGGGTTCCACTTAGATGGCTATAACCATTTGCAGACATCTTGCTATCAAATCCACACTGTAAGCCATGTTGATTCTTACACATTTTCCATGGCTATTTATGCTCATCCTTGAGATGGGGTGTTTCACAAGATCACTAATGTAAATTCCTCATGATAACTGCATAATATGCCAGTCCCAGACCGTACCACCCATGGACGGCATGGGTAAAGCAGAAGGGGATTGCTGACCATCCCTGCTATGCCTAGATTGAATATATTGGTGTGGTATGCTTTTCAAAATAGGGTTTCGTGATCACCCATTGCACTGTCTTGGGTTTTGCAGTATATCTGGACCTTCCACTGCACTCCCCCCCCCTTCTTCCAGTGGAGTACAGGAATCCTTACTACTTATAATTTCCAAGCTGCTCGATGGGTTCCACAAAGATGGCTATAACCATTCAGTTCAGAGTAGGGTTATGGTGTTCTTCCAGTGTAGAGGAAGTTACAAGATCCTCCGGATGAGTAATTATTTCCTGCAGTTGAGACACCCAAATGCAGTTCACCCCTCTGATAGAGTGCCCTTCTCCCACCCTCGGTTCCCAGCGAGTGAGGTTTTGGATATCAAGGTGAACCAATCACATAAGTCCTTACACAGATTTTGGGTTGTCCGTCTCCCCCTCTCGACTTGTCTTTTGTGTTGTGGGTTGGAGAAGGTCTATGTAGTCTGTTTCCGCTTCTGTCCTGGGTTTTTCCCTCATTGATTGATGAGGTTGTTACTGACCTGGGGTCATTTCTGGCTGGTTTTACGTTCACTGGGCTTGAGTGCATGCTATGGACTTCCCTCGGATTCTGGATGACACATTTCCAGTTCCCTGACATTAGGTTACACTGTGAGTTCTTGGAGTAGGATGTTAGGTTCGCTCTTGACTCTGGGACTTGAGGTAAGACAGTATGATCCTCATCCTACCCTCGCAAGGATGTCAGTACCCAGTGAGTGAGTGAGGTTTTGGATGTAGTTGACCTACCGAGTATGGTCCGTCGCGCCCTAGCCACTCGACACCATGGGATACATCCTCACTTGCACACTTCCTTCATGGGATTAAGTGATTCTGATTTCTGTTTAAGAACACATTGCTAAACTAGCCTCTTCCACACAGATGTGCTCCCTTTAATGTTCTGCCATGTATGGTCCTCCTGATCATGTTGATGTTCATAGCAAAGAGATACCTGGCTCGGATGTGGTGAGGTACCCCTCCTCAGATCACCTGATCTGTTCCCCTCATATTGGGGGTGTCCTCAGGACACTTCCAGGGGGATATGCCCGTGCTTCTCTCGCACTGATCCCTCCTCCATTTCAATGTGGGATTCAAGCTAATCTTGTGAGCGAAGGGAGAGTACCTTATCAGAAATTATAATTTTCCAAAATGAAAATGTATTTCCGATAGCTACTTACCTCTGTTCACACTTCACACCCGTCCTCCCCACAATCTTCCGGTGCTCGCGTCTTCTGCTAAACGATGAAGTGATAGTTCAGTAGTGGGGTGTAGAGGGTGTAACATGTGCCATGTGATAGTAGTGCTCTCCTGTTGGTGGGAAAGTGATGCATGATGATTTGCATGAGAGACGTGTTGGAACTGTAGGGAGGATGAAGGCTTGTGGCATGCATTTCTGAAAAAGTTTGCATAAAGAGGGCAGCACAAAATGAGAAAAGCTAATTTTGTGAGAAGATAAAAGTACCTATCAGAAATACATTTTCATTTAGGAAAATTATAACATTAAAAAATTAATATTTTAAGTAGACCTACTATAGTGGAGTTTGACTGCCCAACTAAAAGATATAAGTAAATTCATAAGTGTAATTTTATGACCTTTTATTCAGGACATTAAAAATTTTTATAGGAAATACCCTAGAGTATTTAACCTAACTTCCTGAGTAATTGTAATGCTGCTTTAGTCTCTATTGATGTTGTGTCTTTGTATACTAGTATTGATCATCGTTTAGGTTCAACAGTAAGTAAATACTATCTTGAATGTTTTCCTGAGCATTTATGTAATGGATTTCCTTTAAAGTTGATGTTAGATGCTATTTTATTCATTCTGCTCAATTTGTTTTTTCTTGCTACTAAAATTTTTTTTGACAGCTTAAAGTGAAGACCACAATGGTCCCTACTTACATAATGTTAGTTATGGGTTTTCTAGATTTAATAATGTATTCTTTAGTAAATTATAAATATGATCAGGTAATAGGGAATTATTTGTTGAAACTAGTTTTGTTATATTAATTGATTTATGATGAAAATTAGATATCTAAACATGTTCAATGGTATTTTGAATGTTACTGATGATAATGTTATTTTTATTAATGAAGACAAGAAGGAACAATTATGCTTTTTAGATTTTCATTGTAAAGCTATAACTTTCATACTTGTTTAGATGTTTTTAGTAATCGCCCATGCCATATCAAAAGAAATATTCCATTTAATTTGGCTAAAAGAGTTAACAATTCTAAGCGATTATAATAATGGAGAGATCAAATGGAATAAAGGTATTTTTACACAGTAGAAACTACCCAGATGTTGCATTTTATTATGCATAAAACATTGGACCAAATGTCCACAAGGTCAAAACTGCAGTTACCTTTATTTCAACATATATAGTTCAAATTTTGTAACAGATATTAATGAGTTAGAAGTTTGATAGAAAGCTGTTTTAATAAAGGACTAAATTGGTAAAGTTAATATTAGTTTTTAAATGATTACATTGTGAAACTTGTAAATTTGATTATGATACCTATAATTAGAATTCAGAAATAGGAATTTTAACTTGTAGAAATAAAATATATCAATTATGTACCTTAGGTTATTTAACTCTGTTGCACCCAGTGGTAGTATCTTGCGAAAGAGCAAAATTACACCAATGATTAAAAAATATACAGAAAATACACTAGTACTCATTCTTTTACACATTAAAAAAAAGAACTTAAGAGTTGAATTTGATTCAATAATTGAAATCTTTAATTTTATAAATAAAAATTAAGTCAAAATTTTTAATTGATTTCAGTGTATTTCCAATAAATAGAATACATCATTCATAGCTCCCTAGGAGGAAAGTAGAAATAGTTTTGAACAAAATATTGCTAATTTTGTCTGTTAATTTATGGCACAGTTACAATCCTGATTTTTTTTAAAGCTTGTAAAAAGCTTGATTTACCATTTTTGTTTTAATTATGATATTGCAGTTTGATAAGAAAAGAAATGTTGTTTAGTGAAGTAAGGTGAGGTAGCCTATCGGATTTTGTACTCGACCATATCAAGTTTTATTTCACTGACAAGGCCACTGTGTTTGTCAATTTTTACCATAGATTTTATCAGCCTAAGTAACTACTTGTGTAGGCAAAGAAAATCACTGAATAGAAATTACCCAGACAATCTTATAGATGTTGCATTATATTATGCATAAAACATTGAACCAAAGACTAACAAGGTCAAAACTGCAGTTACCTTCATTTCAACATATTGTCCAAATGTTGTACTAGATATTAATAAGTGAGAATTTCGATAAAAAGCTGTGTTAATACAGAACTAAATACCAATAAGGTTGGATTCTTTGTTTTCTTTAGTAGGTTCATTGTTGGGTTTGGAACAACTTGTGTAGCAACACTACTCTCACTATTGAAATAAACACTTAATCTTGAGTTCATATCTCTCTGTTATCTTATATGTTTAAGTGGACTTTAAAACTAATCTTAAATCTATACATACACACACACATACACACACACACACACACACACACACACACACACACA